ACTACTACTACTGCTACTAGCACTACCACTGTTAAACCCAGGCTCGGATCCTCCTGCGACTATTACAAGTCGTACAATCAATCCTTGTAGTGTAAGGTCCAATCCTTGTACTGTAAGGTCTGGGTCTGCATCGGCCTTCCAGACTCGAAGCTCGAAGAGCCTCCATGTGCCAACACCCCCTCTCTTATATCTCTCCAAACCTCCGAGCCAGAAGTCTCAATTTTCTGTTGATCGCAGATGTCGTAGCATTGCCTTAAATCCTCCGAGCACCCGGTAAAGCCCCGGATGTAAGCATCACAACTGGAAACTGTTAACGCAAAGAAGGCTCTTGCCCACGCTGAACTGTGTGTCTTCCATGCCACCGGGACCGTGACGAACATAGTGCACCTCGTTCTGACTCTTGTCTGGGATGCGGCTGCTCCAAGAAGCGGCGGTGTCTTCTGTTCATAGCATCTTGGCTGCATCCCTAAAATGCACCACAGTCCACGAAGCTGGCAGTACCGTAGGAAACTATATGTAACTCTCACAATCCTGTACATGACTACAGCTACTCTAGAGGATTCGAACCTTGTGTAGCAAAGTGGCGTTCGGTGCAAAACAACTCTGGCTGCTCACACTTCCAGCCAGGCCGGGGGGGCGGAGTTGAGAAGACGTTTACGTAGAACAGAATAAATAGGGCCCGCCGCTTCATTTCTTACGCGAGTGCCTGCATTAGCACCCACTCGCAGTACTTGGCCTACCTGCTGCGAAGGGTCTCCTCGCTTCATATGGAGAAAGAGATGCACAACCCGGCATGATTCTCAAACGCTGAGCTTGACAACACCGAAAGTTTGACCACATATGGAATCGGAGCGGCACGAAAGAAAGGTTAGACAGCCGTTTCTGCAAGCTTCCTGGTTGTGTCGAGGTCCCAGCTCTACAGTCCTGAGTTAGCCGGTGCCCACAAGCGGTGTCACTAGTGAAGCCGCCACTGGCAGACCTAGCGAAGACGGCGGGTGAAATTGCTGCTTTTTCACATAGCATCCGGTAGTTCATCAGCCTTCCATTCAAGAGCAAACTCCATCGGCATCGATGGCTCGTGCCAGCTTAACTGCATCACCTTCTTCTTGCGACCCTCCTGCGACACGGCCATCGAGCCACGATTCAAAGGCCGCAAGCCAAGCGGAGATGTCTTGATGTTGAGCTGGAACGGACCGAGCACTTCAGAGGTCTCTCCACAGGTAGCACTTCCTCCTCTTCGAGGTTTAAGGTCGCCGTCGCCGGCGCGAGTAAGAGCGGTGAATGGAACCAACGTCCATGTCAGGAAAGCAAATTACAGAACCTTCTGCCGAAACCTGACCCCACACCAGACCAGCCAAACCTGCCATGAAGGATAATCGAAGGATACGGCAAGTTTGTCGACGCAAAGTTCATCTAGCTCGGAACCCAACGAAAACACCTGTAACCTCGCCGAAAGCCCCCCTCCGTGCAGCAGCGCGCCTGACCCTGGCTGGAGCAAGCGTCCACACAGGGGCTGCATGCCTAGACAGGGTGGCGATGACAAGCGTTGCCGGGCGTTTGGCTTGCAAGTCTGTAGGTACAGGTTTACAGCTTTCCCACAAGCGAGCTGCCCAAGACTTCGGACGGGGTTAATGGCGAAAGCCCACTGAAAGCTACTCTGCATGCCGCCGTGCTCAAACTCAATACAACAGTCCGCAGCAATCGAGAACTTCAGCACAGAGGAGCTCAAACACGTCTCGAAACCTGCACAACCGGAACACTGGCTGAGGCAGGCACCGCCAAAGGGGTGCCCAGAGTAGCAAAGAAGGCCTCTAGCGCAGTCTGTGGCCTGAGCTAAGTTTTCGGATTGCGGGCTTCAAGGTCGTGTGGCTTTACGGGTTTGGGCCTTTTGGACCTTGATGGATGTATTTTCATGGCAGACTCTTCTGTCTTCCGGGCCTCGCACTGGAATCGGTCGGGGTTTTCGTGGCAATTCTTCATGACAAGGAAAACTTCGTCAGAGCATCGGGCGCAGAGGATAGCACGTGCCCCGGGAATGGGGCACTTTGGTATGCGTGTGCGGATGTGGGTGTGTGTGTGTGTGTGTGTGTGTGTGTGTGTGTGTGTGTGTGTGTCTGCGTGTGTGTGTGTGTGTGTGCGGATGTGTCTACATACCTACCTACTTAGCTCTGTCTGTCTGTCTGTCTGCCTTTTTGTCTGGTGCATGTGTAAGTGTATGCGTGTATGTCCGTATGTATGTCTGTATGTATGTATGCATGTATGTCCGTACATATGTCTGTCAGTCGGTCTTGTCTCTGTCACTGTCTCTGTCTCTGTCTCGGTCTCTGTCTCATTCCGTCTCTCTGTCTGTCTGTACATATGCATGCACCCGTGCAAGTATGCAAACTAATCGGTACGTGTGTGCGCACACACACAGAGACACATGCAGAGACGTTTACCATCGTGCTAAGTTCGGCTAAACAGTGCGAACTGAGTTGCTGCGCTTTCCCCACCAGTGGGTCCTGCACATGACTGTTTTGAGCTTTCTACACTACCGGATGGGGGTTCAACTGGCATCTTGCTCCTCGCCTCTTCTACATTGTGACCCTTGTTCCAAGTGCTGCTTCGAGATTCCGATCATTCTGCAGAGCTCAAGCCTTTGGATGTGTTGGCTTGGCCGCCAATCGTCTTGACTCTTTGGACGTTCTACGCTTTCAGGACAACTGGTCGTGGCTCGAATGCAAAGAGCCCTTATCTTGCGAACAAACCTACTGCCCGGCACACCACATCTTCCCCAGACGCCCATTTCCACAAGGAAACACAGAGGATACTGATCCTCAGCATCGGAGGACAGTCGGGCCTCCGACACGACCTGCGTAGCGATCATCGCCTTCCTGGGTTGCAGGGGTCTCCGGGTCTTGAGCTACCTGCGAGTGCGGATGAGTGCGGCATTCCTCTGGTTGGTTTGTTGCTGACGAGGATGGAAACGGTGATTGATCATGGCAGCGCGGCAATTAGTCTCATCCTTCTTGGGATCCGAGGGCCCAGTTGTGGCGGTCACTGCTGGATTGAGGATTGCTGAAGCCTGAAAGAGTACAACGTCCATGTACTGTGCGTGCGAGCTCCCCAACCTCTGCAACCCACAAACCCGAAAATTTTGAAACTGTCGAACTCCACAACGCTGAGCATCATGAAGCGGCGGAGTCGGTACAGCGAACTGTCGAGGGCCTCGGCTCCCACAATGGAAACCGACATTGGAGCTTGGGGTCAACAGTTGGTTCAGCTTGCGGCACGTTTCGACTTGCTAGGCGCTAGACGTGTTGAGAGGAGATCTTACTCACTTCGGAAAAGAGTCAGAAGCAAGCAGACCCAGACTTGAAGAATCGGCTTTTTATCGTTGGCACAATGATTGCCCTGACTGGGCGGCTCCCGCTTCGCTTTGGGATGGAGATGGATGGAGCTACTGCACTCTGCTGCGTCTTCTCGTCTGCACTGCGCCCTTGTTGCAGGACGGGTTCGGCGAGACTCAGTTGTATTAGACATCCCGCACTCAAAGTCGGAGCTCTTCGTTCAGTTCGCAGTCAAGAATTAACCTGACATCCCTCCGTTCCTTTCCAAGTAGCACCGGCTGGAGGCGTGGCCGTCAACCAGGCATGCTGGCAAGCGCTGCTTGCCGTGATGCGTTCTGACGGATTCCTTAGGCACGTTGTCAATGAAAACCCTGTTCCCATCCAGCAGCACACGTCCCCGAACAACTGAAACCGCTTCCCCACTGTAGCCAGGCCCTTCTCCGAAAATCATCACGGGACAATTGAATGTCAAGTTTGCAGTATGGGTCCAGAAGAACACTTACCGGAGCCTGGCCACATCTTCAGAAGCTCACGGACAATCGCTCTCCCATTCTGGGAGATCATCGACCAATCCTGCAAAACTGGATTGCAGAGTGCCACCGTCAATACAGCTTCCCTGTCCATCCTTCCGGCCGAAAGCGCCTCACCAAAGTCTTAGCAGAACTTGCACGGACAGAAGAAACAGAACCTGCAGGTCAACAGCCCGACGACCCAGACACAACTTGTGAAACCACTCTATGTTGAACCATCAGGAACTGCGTGAAAAAATCTGGGGCACCAAAATTCGAAATAAACACGGAGTCTTTTTACACCTGGGCTCTGCATATGAATCCGTAGTCTTGTGCCGGCAACGTAATGCCTGGCTGTAGCTATTTGCGAGCTGAGATCTGAAGGCCAAACTTCCTTTTGGGGGTGCGCGCACGTTCTTGTAAGATTATGGTCACGCAGTATACGTGTAAGCTGAACCGAACAACCACGAAGCCCGCTGTCAACCAACGAGAGCAAGCAGCCGCCCTCAAGTCTTCACCCTGAACACTTATGAGACCGAGTGATGTGTCCTCGTTCGCGAACACAAAGTTGCCACGCTTGATTGCGGCAGTCGTTCGAGCAAGGTCCTTGTTCAGCTGTTCTTGCCCCCTGCCAACTACACTTGCTCTAAACAAACCTAAGAGCACATCAAAATCGACTTGCCGAGTTTGCAA